CTCTACTCTACTCTACTCTACTCTACTCTACTCTACTCTACTCTACTCTACTCTACTCTACTCCTATTCTATTCTACATTACTCTACTCTACTCAACTACTATTCTATTATTATTCTATTCCATTTCATTTCTATTCTATTCTATTCTATCTCACGTGGTGCGCTCTGGAGTGGAGGGACTACAATTCCTCTCTTTCTCGGCCTACCTAAAGGAAGAATCCAGGGAGCAGCTGCAGGGGTGTGTGCGAAGGTTGGAGAAAGTGCCAAGATTTTGAACCTCCGACCAGAGAGGTTTCCTGCTGCTTCAAAGAATAGCAACAAAGGAGAGAGAGAGAGCTGCAAAACTGCCAAGCCAGACCTGGTTTATGGACTGGGATGGAAAGCTCAGTAGGTAGGATATAGAGTTGGCCAAACATCTGGGATTTTATGGCCAACCAAGTCCGAAGGTCTTCAAAAAACACTATTTATTTGTTTGTTTGTTTGTTTGTTTGTTTGTTTGTTAGTTAGTTAGTCAAACATGTAAAGGATAACAGGTATAAGTATAAACATGAACATGAACAAATGAAATGAGTACAGATAAATAGGAACATTAGGACAGGGATGTTAGGCACGCTAGTGTGCTTATGCATCCCCCCTTTACGGACCTCTTAGAAATGGGGTGAGGTCAGCAGTAGACAGTTTAAGGTTGAAGCTGTGATGGTTAGAGAATGTAACAACAGAGTCAGGTAGAACATTCCAGACGTTGGCCACTCTGTTGCTGAAGTCGTATTTTCTGCAATCAAGTTTGCAGTGGTTTACGTTGAGTTTGTATCTATTGTTTGCCCATGTATTATTGAAGTTGAAGTAATCATTGACAGGTAGGATGTTGTAGCAGACAATTTTGTGTACTATGCTTAGATCAGACCATAGGCGCCGTACTTCTAGGTTGTCCAAGTCCATAATTTCGAGCCTGGTGGCATAAGGGATTCTATTGTGAGCAGAGGAGTAGAGGACTCTTCTCGTGAAATACCTCTGGACTCGCTCGATTGTATTAATTATTAATTAATCTGCATGGATTCAGATGCCAGCAGCCAAGCTGGACCTGACAATGCTTTGCTAGTTAGTCTTCAGTGTTGATAAACCTTTTTTTTACTTAAATTGTATCTCTTACCAGTTTTTGTTTTTTAAAGCACTTGTACCCAGGAGATGGCAACATGTCTGTTTTCCTTAGAAAACCTGAATCAACATCCTCTTTTGTTCTCTGGAAAGTCGGTTGGAATCCCTAGACAAAGGAATTCTGTTTTGAGGAATTATTTTGGCTAGAGAAAAAAAATGGGTGAGAGATTTGTGAAGCGCTTCCTAGGCTCGCTTGCAATATTGCAAATCCATTCCGCCTCCCCCCAAGCAGGGGTGTTTTGTTTAACCTTTTACATTTTGCAATTATATTTACTAGGCCTGTAGTAGAAAATGTCATGTTAAAAAGACTGATTCAGTTTTTTTCTAAATCATTTCAATTCAATTTCTAAATCATTTCTTCTAAATCATGTGTGAGACTTCCACTCAGACATGATGACTTTTGAATGAGAGCCAAATATTTCCATGGGGAAAATTTTACAGAAATAGGAGACATGTTAGTTGCAAATTGATAGCAGATTTCATATATATATATAACACATATATAATGGCCCGGTGTGTGTTTGCATGTTCCAACATAATTCTGGAATGCCTCGAGCAATTTGAACCAAACTTGGTACACAGATAACTTACTCTCTGAAAAAAAGTACTGTGGGGGTAAGACACCCCTAACACCTCTCAGGGTATGTGTTCTATTAAGATATAGCCTTTTGTGCCTTAAAATGGCTTCTACAGTACTGCCATAAAATGGCTTCTACTGTACAGCGAAGTGGAGTTGCCATGGTAATGACTACACAGTACTCCACAAGGAGGCTCCCTCTGGTTAGGGGAAAAATCCAACATTAAAAATTAGGTTTGGTCTGGACATTTCCCCCCTATAAATAAATACCCGGGTGAACACTGGGTTATCAGCTAGTTTCAAATAAACTGAGTCACAATTATGCTTTAATACTTAACATTTATTATATCACCCTGAGAAATAGTGACAGGAAACAGCCATGTAGATTCTAAAAGGGAAATCTCTTCTATATAGCTTAATATATTTCTATATCTATAGCAAGATACACATTCAATTATTAGAGATCAAATGAAGCTTTTGATTCATAAAAATGAGCTCCTGTTTTCTACCACAGCATTTCACAAACCTGGAAATCACAACATTTACATGTAACACAACAGCTACAAATTCACACAAGAAGCAAAATCTTGGCTGAGCCATTAGATGTCATTCCCAGATGCTTGCAGCTGCTTGCCACAAACTGGAGTGCAGTCATTTTTATATTTAATTCCAAGGAAACTGCACATTTTCTTCAGCATGAGGTCCACTATCTCTTCTTCTTCCGAAGCCTTTAAAAAGAGAGAGAGAGGGAGGGAGGGAGGGAGGGAGGGAGAAGGAGAGAGAGAGAGAGAGAAAGAAATGCTATCATTACAATGCTGGATTCCTAGATAGAAAACTGTGTTTCTTAACCATAGCAAAATTTAAGAGGCACGGACTTGGACTCCCAAAATTCCCCAGCCAGCTGGCTGAATTGACAGGGAATTGATGCCACAAAATTGACAAAATAGACAGAAATCCGTCTTGCAAATCAAAACATTTTATTTAACGCAGAGCATCCTACCCTGATATTCTCCAGGTGCGTTCAAATTCCAAGCACCTCCAGTCAATATAGCCAATGACTGGCAATGGAAGCTGCAGGTCAGCATGCGAGAACTCACCGTGGAAAATCCCCATACAAAAAGTCCTTGACTTGTTTGTGGCTACACCAAGCAGTTGTTAAGGAAATCAGACTCAATTTTAGGAGCTGTTTTGCCATGTTGGTTAAGCAAATCAAGTTGTAACATGAAGTGAATGCTTCTTCCACTGACTGCTTGTCAGAAGCCGTCTGGAAGAGCTGCCAATGACGATCACATAACCTCAGGATCCTGCAACCATCGTAAATCATACTGGTTGCCAAAGGCCCAAATATTGATCATGTTACCATGGAGATGCTGTGCTAATTTTCGTGGTGCTGCAATGGTTAGAATGCAGTATTGTTGGCTAACTCTGCCAAATGTTAGCAGTTCGATCCTGACCAGGTCAAGGTTGATTCAGCCTTCCCTCCTTCCGAGGTCGATAAAATAGGACCCAGATTGTTTGGGGCAATAGGCTGGCTCTGTAAACCACTTAGAGAGGACTGTAAAACACTGTGAAGCAGTATATAAGTCTCAGTGCTATTGCAAGGGTGGGGACTGATAATAAGTTGCTTTTTTCAGTGGCTTTGTAACTTCGAACAATCACTAAATGAATGGTTATAAATCAAGGATTACCCGTATTGAAATTACCTCCTGGTCTAGGTACCCTGTCTTGAAATCAAGAGTGACCAATCCTTTGTTGAACAGGATTTTTGCTTAACTGAAGAATAGATAAAGGTGGACTGCTTTGGACGGCAAATAACACCCATTGAACTGAGCTGGATCCATCAAGAGTTGGATTTTCCATTTTTATGGCTTTTTAAAGAATGGTTTTTGACGTTTCTGTTTGGACAACTGCACTGTATCCATTTTCAGCCATGCATGTTCTTTTCCCCTCTTTTTTCATTATTTCCTTCAACGAAATGGCAGAAAAGCATTCTGCCAATCTGAGACAGTTCCACCAAGCACACTTGACTTGGTGGCGGTAGAGTTGCAGAGGATTCCAGAGCAGTGGTGAACTTCAATTTTTTTTACTACCGGTTCTGTGGGCGGGGCTTGGTGGGCATGGCAGGGGAAGGATGCTGCAAAATCTCCATTCCTACCCCACTCTGGGGCCTGTCAGAGGTGGTATATCCCGGTTCTCTGAACTACTCAAAATTTTCACTACTGGTTCTCCAGAACCTGTCAGAACCTGCTGAATTTCACCCCTGCTCCTGAGGCCCCCAGGATACACTTTGGGACTTTTTCAGGTCCCCTTTAAACTCTGAGATTCAATGAACAAACCTGATAATGTTTCTGCTCCTCGCTAAAAGCCACCAGGATGACCGAAATGAAGAGGTTCAACACCACAAACGTCATAAAGATTATACAGGAACCGATTAAGAAGGACCCCAAAATAGGATTGTAATCCAGGACCTGTAATTCGAGAGATATTATTAAGTCTATGAAAAAAAAATAGGATGAAAAAAATGTTTTTATAAAGCTGCTTAAAAACTTTGAGCAGGGCAGTAGATTAGATTATAGCTTTATTCATTAGCCTATAGGCCATATCAAAGCACAAGGTTCAAACACATATCACCAATAAAATCCTATACAAACAGGGCAGTAACTGCTGTGTTGCTTGGGTGCATCAGAGCCTCCGATTCTGAACAGAAATCAAGCTATCCTGTGTACAGTAAATAGACACATTTCAATGCTTATGGTTTTATTTACCTGTACAATTTTTACTTTTGGCATAAGTAAAATGAGTATTTTTTAATTGTCATAACAATAAGTAAAATATGTTTTTTTTAATCCAATACATACATACATGCATGCATGCATACATACATACATACATAAATACATACATACATACAAGTTTCCCTCACACGTATGTGCTAGTTGCTCTCAACTCTAGGGGGCAGTGCTGATCTCCATTTCAAAGCCAAAGAGCCAGCCCTGCCCGAAGACGTTTCTGTGGTCATGTGGCCGGCATGACTAAATGCCGAAGGTGCACGGAACGCTGTTACCTTCCCACCAAAGGTGGTTCCTATTTTCTACTTGCTTTTTTACATGCTTTCAAACTGCTAGGTTGGCAGAAGCTGGGACAAGGAGCGGGAGCTTACTCCATTATGCAGCGCTAGGGATTCGAACCTTCAAACTACTGACCTTTCTGATCGACAAGCTCAGCATCTTAGCCACTGAGCCAACGTGTCCCTGTGATATACATACATACATACATACATACATACATACATACATACATACATACATACATCATCACCATTGTCTTCATTTTAGCCATTGTCTAGCAACTGCAGGATGAAGGCCTCTTCTGCATATTCCCAACCTATACGGTCCTGAGCTTTCTTTTGCCAATTGGCCCCACAATACTTGCTAACATCTTCAATCCATTTTGTTTTAGGTCTTTTTCATGGATGCTTTTGATCAAGTGGGATCCATTCTATGACTGCCTTGGTCCACTTGACATCAGTTCTTCTCGGTGTGTGACCAGCCCATTTCCATTTCAACTCTTTTACCCTCTTGATGGCATTGTATTCCTTTTGTTTGTTTTCTAATCCATCCATAAAACCTATTCTAATAACAAGAAAAAGCTAACCCAGCTTCCTGGAACCAAATTATTTTCCATTTATGGATTTCAGCTCCCAAAAATCACAACAGTGGTAGATGTCTGACTCCAGATAATTGAAGGATATCAAGTTGGAGAGACTTAATGCTACTAGATACAATCCTTTGCATATATACTGTATGCAAAACTAAGCTTTGTTGTATATGGTAAGGATGCATAAATTTGCGCCCCAACTTAATCTATATTTCAGTTTTCAATTTTTCCTGTGATACGTTTTTCTCTCTAAATCACTTTTCCACTCACAAGATCAGTCAGCAGTGAGCAAATTTTTCCACGCTCTAAATAAAATAAACACTTTGATTTTCATTTGATAGACCTTATTTAGAAAGTATCATACCTCTTCGTAGTTGAAGATTCCTAACTGAAGGCTGACCATAGTCTCAGCAGAATCAAACAGAGTCTTGTATGAATTCAGTTTCCAGCCATATATTAGATTTGTCTGCATTTTAAATGAACAAAATAATAATAATCTTAGATGCCAGGTATTTTATTTTCTCCATAATATCTACTGCTCATTTTTTATTCTGACAGGAAGATATCCTGAAAAGACGGAATAAGTCTGAACCATCTTGATGGGAAACGCTTCAGTTGCATTACTGAAATAAATGAACTTTTGCACGATATTCTAATTTTTTGAGTTTCACCTGTATAACCCCACAGAAAAAATAGTAGATGAAGTGTTTAACCAGCCTTCCCTTAGCTATTGATCCTTCTTAGTGAACTTTGAGCCAGCTGCCCTGTCTTAAGAGTACAAACAACCTCGTAATTGCAGGGAAAATTTTGTGAAAAATGCTATGTATGACATCTTAAGTTCCTGGAGGAAGGTCATAAAATTAATGAATGGGTAAAATTAATGAATAATGGGGGGGGGGGAAAGAACTGTTAGTGGGCTGGTGAAAGTCAAGTAAGATACCTGCTGCCATTAAGCAGCTCACACAGGCCCTCCTGTTGCTCAAAACTGGAGGTTTTTCAAGAAGCAATTGGGCAGCCATTTGTCTGGAATGATACAGGGCAATGATGGTGAACCTTTTGGCACGGAATGCCCAAACCAGAACACTCACACACATTCATGCATACGCACCGAGTGCTGGAAACCTGAAGACTAACTGACTGGCCACCTAGTCTTTGGGTTTGTGCATGTGCGTGCTGGCCAGCTTGTCTTCACATGTGCTGGAGCACCAGAAACCTGAAGACCAGGTGGCTGGGGCGCATGTGCGCAATGGAAACCAGAAGAGCAGCTGGTGATAGCACACATGCCCACAGAGAGGGCTCTGCATGCCACCTCTGGCACATGTGCCATAGGTTCACCATCACGAGTTTAGGGCCTCCTGCTTGAGCAGGGTGGGTGGAGTAGAAGACCTCAAGGTCCCTTCCAACTCTGTTATTCTTTTATTCTGTAAAACAAAGACTAATTCTGCTCATAATCGTCTCAAACCTGTTAATTAACAGGAGCTTCTCAATACAACCAGATACCTCAACACATTGTCACAGTTTAATTTCCATAAGGCTCTTCTTGTTACCTTGTTTTGTAGCTTCTACCAGATGCTATAATGGAGCTCACAAGATAACCTGGGACCAGTTGTTCTTTCCTAAACTAACTCATAGAAACATTGCTCCAGGAATAACTTTGAGTTCCCAGAAGGAAAGTAGACTGGAAATGAGTATTATTTAGCATGACATGTATCTTGTAGGACATTTCCACATAAGGATTCTGAACCAGTTTGAAATCAGTTCCAGTTCAGTGTTGGTGTTGGAGAACTAAACTGGTTTATTTCCAAGGTCTATTCTAAAGTGGGGTTCTTTGCAAAAGTTCAGGATGGGATCCTAATATCTAATTTTGCTCAGGATTTGAAGTTTGGTGGGAAAAGTGTCCGTTTTGTTCTAGAGTTCTCTGCTTTATGAATAACCCATGTAAAAGGTAAAGGTTCCCCTTGCATATATGTGGTAGTCGTTTCCAGCTCTAGGGGGTGGTGCTCATCATTTCAAGGCCAAAGAGCCAGCGCTGTCCGAAGACCTCTCCGTGGTCATGTGGCCGGCATGACTCAATGCTGAAAGCACATGGAACGCTGTTATCTTCCCACCAAAGGTAGTTCCTATTTTTCTACTTGCATTTTTACGTGCTTTCGAACTGCTAGGTTGGCAGAAGCTGGGACAAGTAACCGGAGCTCACTCAGTTATACAGCGCTAGGGATTCGAACTGCTGAACTGCTGACCTTTCTGATCAACAAGCTCAGTGTCTTAGCCACTAAGCCACCACGTCCCCCAACCCATGAACTACATAAACATACAAGAAGGCCTGAGCACAGCCTTCCGGATTACTCACAGCGATGGAATAAGCCAGGAACATGATGATAATCACGGTGGCAAATCCTGATATGTCCCCCCAGGCTCTCCGCAAGGTGGAGGTGATCATGTTCAACTTGGGGTTGAGTCTCAACAAATGCCAAAGTTTCACGGTGGAAAGGAGCACCAGGAACGCAATCAGGTAGCCCAACACTGCATCCACCGTAGCAGTTTGATTGAAGCTCACAAACCTAAGAAGAAGATTCAGGGATTGCAATCAGCTGGCAGGTAGCAGTGGGGAGGGCAACCTTGGTGCCTTGCTTGTGGAAACTGCCATCCCAATCCATCGGTCAGAGCATAGAAACGGGAGGATTGAGCCCCAATTGGAGGAACCTATGTTCAGCTTCTCAATTAGTCAAGCCATATTAGATGGCTTAGAGCAGTGGTCCCCAACCTTTTTATCGCCACGGACCAGTCAGCCTTTGATAATTTTACCGTGGCCCGCTGAGCGCGCGCAGGGGTGGGGGGGGGCGTTGTTCGCAACGACCCATTGATTGTTTATATATCACGTGCGTACCAGCGCGGGCCTCTCTCCCCTGGAGCCTTTGCGCACGGCCCAGGAGCTTTTGCGCATGGCCCAGGAGCCTTTGCGCACCGATCATGGCCCCCGGCCGCTGCAGCGATCATGGCCCCCGGCCGCTGCAGCGATCATGGCCCCCGGC